AGTAGATACAAGCGACACCAACTCCTAGATTCAGCCTCCAAGCCACCTCCGTGTTCTCAGCTACTTCTAGTCCCTAGAACAAGAAGTCTTGGAATCGGTCAGGCATATGCGCCCTTCCTGTAACGTGTCCTTGTGTGCAAGTCCACATCTTCTTCCAATGTTCTTGTTGCTCCAAGCACCAGACATCCTGCCAGGACCGCAGGCATCTCTTACAACAGTCCCACGCGGTACAGGTCACTGAACATCATTCCATTTAGCTAATGCTGCATAACAGCCCACTCAAAACACAATGACTTAATAGGCTTTACTTTATTATTTTTTTTAATGAGGATTGACTGGGCTCGGCTAAGCAATTCTTAGGGGCTTGTATGGATGCCAATGGTTGGGGACCTCCGGGCATTTCTCCTTTCCCACGGTCTCTCCCGTCTGGTGACTTCGAGGCAGTCGGACTTCAGTGGTGAGTCAGGCAGCGGCTGGAGCGGCTCACACCGACTCTAGTCCATCCTGGACAACTATTTCCAACCCCACTGTCCAGGGACTTCCCGTCAGTTGCTTGCAGTCAGCCATGGTCGGTATATTGGCACCGCAAAAGTCAGCAAACATTACAAACCTAGACGCCTTTTCCCGCCCCGAGGACCAGCTGTTAAACATTCGGCAGCACAGCGCTGGACTCAGGGCATCCAGGGCCCATGTCCTGAGAGAATCAGGCAGAGGCCGTATCCTTCTTTGTAATCTGGCCTCGCAAATTTCTTAGCAATGTCACTTCTGTGGTCACAAAGGCCTGCCCATGTCAAGGGGAAGAGTGTAGACTCTACTTCGTACTGGACAGTGGTCAAGTCTTGGAAGAGCATGACAGATAGGAGGTATTATTATAGCCATTTTGGAAGATACAGTCAGCCATAGCATCACAGGTCCCTGGAAACTGAATACTAGTCACTAATGACAACAAATAAAACAGCCTCCCCCACTCCCAGATACACACACATGCTTCCAAACACCCTGGCAGCAGACGGTGCTGTGCCTTACGTATCCCATACTGACCCAGCCAGTGGTTGGCACCCAGCTGTGTGGACTTGTGGCTATGAGGCACCTTGTATCTTTTAGCAGAGCGCCCCAACCAAGAGTTTTGTATACCCAGGGCTCATAGGGTACATCACTTGAAGGTCTTTGCTCCCGGTGAAGTGTGAGGGGCCACCCCCCAGCTCCAGAATTCCCCGCTGGCCTGTGACCCACACATCCCTAAGGAGCACTGACCCGGGGAGCTGCACTCTGGTGAGTTTCCCATCCTGCCCTGCAGGCTGGTGGACCTGCTCATAAATTACAGGTAATTGAGTCACTCAATTAGTAGTGGGGGCGAAGGAGTGTCAGGCTTCTTGCCCTGTCCACAGACCACTTGCCTGAGACAGGTTTATTTCTTAACCAGACCTTCATCAATTTATTTAAACATCGTAACAGTTGACAGGAATCAAGCACTTACTGGCACTGGGTAGCAGAATAAGTATTAGATCATTGCAGCCCTTTAACCCAGGACAACCTCCAAGGATTGTTTTGGCCATTAAAACAAGATGATGGAATACAGTTGAGATGATCCAGCTTAGATGCTCAGCACAGGGGCATAAAGGGCCCTATAGATGTCACCAGATGAAAATATCATAGCCAAATGGTTGCTTGTCATCTTTTTATGATGTGTAGTAATAGCAGCTAACACAATTTAGTGCTTAATCTTAAATGAATGTCACCCTTATTTATGAGACACCAGCGGTTTTTCTTAGGTGCTTTACAAATATTAACTCATTTCATCCTCCCAACAACCTTATGAAGTAGGTGCTGTTAACATCCCTATTTTCAGAGGAGGAAACAGGCACACGGTAAGTGACGTGCCCCTGGCCGTGTAACTAGCAAGAAATATAGCTGAGGCTCGAACCCGGGCTGGCTAGATCCATGCTTAAGGTTTCTGTCAGTAGTCTGGCCTGCCCTTGATGGAGAAATGAAATGAGTTTCTCCATAGTTCTTGAACTAATCACTTGAGTTCTTGTTAAACAAAGGTGCCTCGGTTTCCTCATCTGTGAAGCGGGTTTCTAATGTGATGATTTGTTCACTTAATATCTCTTTATCGAACCCTTATTATGTGTCAGCCACTGGCATGGACACTGTGGTATGCAGTATACAAAGTAAACAACAATTCGTCCTCATAGTGATTGCAGTGTGGAGGCAATAAAGATAATTAAGTAAACTTTAGATACTTAGGTGCAGGGTGTGTTCAAAGGTGATAAGAGCTTTAGAGAAGTATAAAATAAGAAAAAGGGGAGTAGGTGGTGCTCATGAGGCTCTGAAATTGTAAATAAGATGGCCAGGGAAGACCTCGTGGAGAAGTCGACATTTGCTCAAAGACCCGAAGGAAGTATGGAGGTGAGCAAAGAAATCCTCTGGATTAAGGTGGAGGAAACAGCCTGTGTAAAGGCCCTGGGGTATGGAGACCGGTGTGAATGAGGCGGTGAGTGAGGGGGCGATGAGGGCAGGGAAGTGAGGGGGCATGTGGTAGGGGGCCTTGTGGGCCACAGTGAAAACTTTGCCTTCACCCTCAGTGAGATGGAGCCACCGGAGAAGCTCTGAGCAGGGAGGGGCAGGACCTGACTCAGGTGCTCACACCTGACCTGGTTGCTTAGGAGGAAGACAATTGGAAAAAGAAGCAGGGAGACCAATGGTCCAGGTGAGAGGTGATGAGAACGGATGGGATCCCCAAGGGAGTGAGTGTTGATGGAGAATTGGAGGTTCAAAGGCTGATCCCTGACATTGCAAGATCAGAGGGAGGAGGATGAAATGGCCAAGGAGAACCGACTAGGAGCCACCAGGCAGAGGGGAGGGGTCCAGAGGGCTGGCCTGAGCCAAGTGAAGGTGGGGGAGGGGGTAACCCCACTGTATCAAGTGCTGCTGATAGGTTGAGCAAGGTGAGAGCTGAACAGTGACTATTGGCTCAGCCCCAAGAGGGTCATTGGTGACCTTGACGTTTCAGGATGAGGAAGGGGACAAAGCCTGATTAGAGAAGGTTTAAGAGAGAACTTAGAGAATACAGAGGCAGTGAGTATAGACGACTTTTTTGTAAAGAGGAGCAAAGAAATGGGTCCATAGCTGGAAGGGCAGGTGGGGTCAAGAGGGTTTGTCTTCAGCTGAGAGAGCTGACACCGTGTGGGCTGATGGGAATGATCCAGTGCAGAGGGGGAAACTGAAGAGGCAGCAGAGAGAAGGGACAACTGTGAGACCATGGCCTGGAATGCTCGGGAGGGGCGGGTTGATGGACACAGGGGCAGTCATGGTGGGAAAGTGCAGCTGCAGACGTGTGGGTGGGCACAGGACAGGTAGGTGGTCGATGGGGCAGTGGGGGCCTGTGGAAGTTCTCATCACTGCATTTTTTTCTGCAGAATAAGAAGCGAAGGGAGAGTGAAGAGGTGGAAGGGGGTGTGGTGGAACGGAGGAGAGCGGAGGTGTGAAGTCGTTATCTATAAAGAGGAAGGGCGAGCAGATGAGAGAAATGTAGTCCAATTGCTGGGCAGCTTTAGTGGCTTGAGGGTCAAGTTCATAAACTTGAAGTGGAGTTGTGTATTATCCTTCAGCCACTTTAAACTGCGTAGGTACAGGCACAGGGTAGGTGGAGGGCTGGATTTGACCAAGGTCACTTGTAGGAGGAAGCCAGAGGCAGGGTGTATGCAAAGCATGTTTTTAATGATTAATCAAGAAATATAAACTAGATCAGGAATGAGGACTTGAGGGGGTGAGGGGAAGTGAAAAGGAGGTGGGCACAAAGGATGGGAGACCACAGGGGGTTGGAAGGATTGTGAGAGTTGGAGGGGAGGCGTAGATGAGAGAAATGTAGTCCAATTGCTGGGCAGCTTTAGTGGCTTGAGGGGCAAGTTCATAAACTTGAAGTAGAGTTGTGTATTATCCTTCAGCCACTTTAAACTGCGTAGGAGGTACAGGCACAGGGTAGGAGGGGGGGTGGATTTGACCAAGGTCACTTGTAGGAGGAAGCCAGAGGCAGGGTGTATGCAAAGCATGTTTTTAATGATTAATCAAGAAATATAAACTAGATCAGGAATGAGGACTTGAGGGGGTGAGGGGAAGTGAAAAGGAGGTGGGCACAAAGGATGGAAGACCACAGTGGGTTAGAAGGATTGTGAGGCACTGGAGGGAGAGCTGGAAAGAGAGGAGGTGAAGGGTGGAGAGAGATGCCTGTGACCGAAGTCCTGGAGAGGCCGTGGTTATTGACACAAGGGTGACCAGGGAGAGAGGGGCTGAGAGGAGAGCAGATCAGGGAACAGAGAGGCAGTGGTGGCAGAAGGAAGGGTCCCCTACATAGATATGGAAAGTCACCAAGAATGATGAGAACAGGGGGAGTGGCAGTGAGCCTGGAGCTAAAATCGTGAAGTGAGATGTAGTGATCTGGGTCAGGAAATGGTGCATAAGGTGGGATACGATCTACTCCGATGACAAGATTCATAGCTGGGGACTTAGGTGGAGGATGGAGACAGCTTGGTCGGGAAGCAGCACGGAGGAGCGAGGAGATTTATCCATTTGGAAGGGCTACAGGAGAGGCGGGTTCCGCTCAGAGAAAGAAGGTGACAAGAATGTTCAGGGAAGAGATTGAGGAAATAGATTTTGCTGAAGATAGTTCATGAATTCCTAAGGCCCGAGGCGTTGAGACAGGTTGGGGGATAGGATAGAAATGGTTTCCTCCTCAGGTTTTTCTCATCTGTCTCCATTATACTTACAGTCATGCACATAAAGTGCTTGGCCTGACACAAGTGCGCCGGCCAGAGATGGAAACCATGGTCAGCAGTCCTGGTAGTCATGGCCAGCTGTCTTGCCCCAGAGGGAAAGCCCTCCGCCCTCTATCGCCCTTCAGAGCCCTAGGTGGCAGGCACTAGGTGCCGGGTTTTCCCGGCCGTGGCAGCCGCCTTATCGTCCATTGGAGCTGGTGGGGTCACGGTCAAGTCACAGGGACTTTGCGTCCTGAGAGAAGTGGAGGGAGGGCAGACTGCCCTGTCCCGCCAACCCCTCTCAACCTGCAGGATTCCAGAGGCCGGAGATGGGCGCCCGGCCCTCGCGGCGGCGGCTGCCCCCGGACCCGCCCATAGCCTTGGACGCGCTGCCTCCGGAGCTGCTGGTGCAGGTGCTGAGCCACGTGCCGCCGCGCGCGTTGGTGACGCGTTGCCGCTCAGTGTGCCGCGCGTGGCGCGACGTGGTGGATGGGCCCACCGTGTGGCTGCTTGCTGCAGCTGGCCCGCGACCGCAGCGCCGAGGGCCGCGCGCTCTACGCGGTGGCCCAGCGCTGCCCGCCCAACAGCAAGGAGGAGTTTCCGCTCTGCGCCCTGGCGCGCTACTGCCTGCGAGCGCCCCTCGGCCGCAACCTCATCTTCAACTCCTGCGGAGAGCGTGAGTGCCGGGGGCGGGGCCTGACCACGGGGACGAGGCGAAGACCTGGCGGGGACGCGGCGGGGGCAGGGCGGGGTAGACCGAAGGGCTGTGCGGGATGGGGGCCCGGGGCGTGGCCAGGACGAGGGGAGAGGGGCGGGGCCGGGAGTCAGGGGGCGTGGTCTAGGAAGAGGTCCGTGAGAAACTGGATGGGCGAGGCCAAGGTGGGGTTGGGGAAGAAACGGGCTAGATGGGAGGAACCAGAGCTGTGGACAGTGGAGGAAAACGGAATGGGTGGGTGAGACAGAGCAGGTGGAACCAGGGTGCGGGACCGTGGCGAAGCGCTGGAACTGTAGACTCAGTGGGCGGGGCTAAGGGGAGGAGCCAGGGGAGAACTGGAAGCCGATTGGGTGCTGATGGGGGCGGAGCTTGCATAGAAATATAAGGCTTCCTTGAATGGCTGTGGGGAGGAGGAACTAATCGAGTGTGGGTGCCAAGGCAGGAGGAGCTAGGAGGGCGAGGGGCCATGGCGGAAGGACCCCGGGGCTAGTCCAGGGGAGAAGCCGAGTATATTGAGAGGCTAAAGGGAGACAACTGGAGGCGGGGGTGAGGGGGCGGAGAACAGAGCGAGACTGAAGTGAAGCTGAGTGGATAAGCAAAGCTGAGTGACGCGGTCGTGGGATGGGACCAGGAAAGCCAGCTGTTGGGAGGCGGAGCCAGAGTGGAAGAAGGCGGGGGTGTGGAGCGCGTCGGCGAAGCTGGTGGGCGGGGCAAGCAGAGTGTTTGGCGGGCTCTCTGGTTCGCGAGCTGGCAGGCGAATCCCTTGTCTTCAATCCTGCTGTATCCAACAGAGGGCTTCAGAGGCTGGGAGGTGGAGCACGGCGGGAATGGCTGGGCCGTGGAAAAGAATCTAACAGTGGTGCCGGGGGCTCCTTCCCAGACCTGTTTCGTGACTTCTTTCGAGTGAGTGGCCTTTGATCCCTAAGGCAAGGGCCTCAAGGAGGGAGGGGACCCAACCCCACCATCCTCATCCTCACCCACCTTCACCCTCCCCTCATTCATTTATTCAGTCAATCAACATATATTTGTTGAGGACCTGCCAGGTACCAGGCATTGTTTTATATGCCAAAATACAAGGAAAATTCAGAAAGATCATTTGCATTTTAGATGTAAGGTGGAGGGAGACATTAAATACATGAACAATAAAACAACAAGAACACAACATTTAGAATACCTTCTCTCTGCCAGATGCTTTACATATAACTCTTTTAATCTTGACAACCCTGTGACATAGATACTATTGTTATCTCCACTTTATAATAGGAAACTGAGGCAGAGAGTAACTAACAACTGGTAAAATGGTGGAGCTGGGACTTGAACCCAAGTAATTTGGCTCCGGAGCTTCTGATTGTGATAGATGCTATGAAGACAGCAGAATAGTTTGATTGGTTGGTTGATTATATTTATCCTCATACCCCATACCCATTTTCTTTGACTTTGCCCCAATACTCAACCATTCTTACATGGCATTATCCAGCTTTCTAGTAGTTGCCAGTGTATTAGGGGTGAAGCGATATCTCATTGCTGTTTTAATTTTAATTTGCATATTTCAGTTTACTAATTACTAAGCATCTCTGCATGTGCTTGTTAGCTTTTTGGATTACCTCTTTTTTTTTGTCAATTGCCTGTTTATATTTTCTATTAGGGCCGACATCTTATTTTTGTTGATATACAAGAATTCCTTGTATCTTCTGGATGTCCCTCCCTTGTTCGTCCCGGACATTGTGAAATCTCCCTCTTTACCATCTGTATTAACTGTGTCCATGGTATCCTTTATTTGGTGTTCTTTGTTGTTATTTTTATATGATCAAATTTATCTCTTTTTTGCTTTAGAAGTCGTTTCTGAAATTTTGTTTTAAAAAATCCTTTCCTATCCTTAGATCCTAACAGTAGTCTCTTATATGCTCTTCTAGTAAACTTGTAGTTTTATCTTTCACATTTAGAGATTTAATCCACCTATGAATGTGGTGTTAGCTAAGGATCCAATTCCCGCCTCATACACATTCCATATACTGAGCCAGTTTTCCCAACACCATCTACAAAAGCACCCATCCCTTCCCCATGGAGCGACTGTGCTGTCTATCATTTATGAAGTTCCCATGCATACCTAGGTCTGTCCCTGAGCACTCTGTTCCGTTCCACTGGTCAACTTATCAGTTTTTCCTTCAATACTATACTATCTACATTATCATGGCATGTTCAAATGAGGGCTGAAGGGCTGTTTACAAAGGCGTAGGCAGACCACATGGGATACTGCATGACCCCCAGGCTAGTAACAGTGGAGAGAAGGGTCATTGCCACCCCTAGGCCTGACAAGGGTAAGGAGAGGAAGTAGTTACTGAAACATTAAGACAGAGAAAACTGAGGAGAGGGCACTGTGGAGCTGTGCCCTTCTGTTGAGAGACACAGCATTCCCATTGTGATCCCATTAGAGGGAGCCAGGAAGATAAATACCCTGATTTTACTCTTTTCTCCCTTCTGTCTCTTGCTGGAGCTTCCTATTGGCTAACCCAACAGGAAGTAGAGGGTAAGGGAGATGAGTCCATACAGGCGAAAAAAAAAACCTCAGACCTTGGGCCCCCGCAATTTAGAAGGCCCCAGCAGGCCCTGCTCAATGTGGGCCTCCGTTTATATTTATGTTCCAGTCACCACAAATATTAGAGACAGGCCCGTATCCAGGTCAGCCTCTTGGAGACCAGGGTCGGGTAGAGAATGGTAGAGGGATGTGAGAGGCCAATGGGGACGCCCAGCCCAGCATACAGCTTGTCTAGAGAGGAAACCCTGAGGAGCAGGCTTTAGACGAGAGTTGTTGGGGGAGCCTTCTAGGGGGATGTGATTTCCAGTCTGCTCCATCCCCACCACCACCATCTCCCCTTCCTAGATGGTGCTTCAAGCGGCAGCTTGTGGACTTGGTAATGGAGGGGATGTGGCAGGAGTTGCTGGATAGCGCCCAGATCGAGATCTGTGTGGCTGACTGGTAAGTTAAAAATGGCAGCCTGCCCCCAGAACCAATGGTGGTGGCAGCAGTCCTGCAAAAGGGGCTCATTTTGTGCCCCCATCAATGCCTCGGGCTAACCACTGTTACGGTACCTTCTTCATAGGCTGAGAGAGGAAAAGTGATGATCTCATAGTTGCAGAGCCAGGGAGGAGTGGAGCCTTAGTGAACCCAGAGCCCCGACTCTGCACTCCTCCCCACCCTCTACCCAGCAGGCTCCAGGGTTCCTGGCATGGGGGCCGCTGACTGCCTTGGCTTGGTCTGAAACAAGGTGTCTCCCTCACCCATTCCACCTCCATCGCCTGCAACTCTGCGCTGACCCTAAGGGCCTGTGGACAACAAGGCCTCAGAAGGATATGGAGCACTGTACTCTGAACACTGAGACTCAGAAGGGGCAGAGTTGGGCTGGGGGCACTGGCTGGCTTTAGTGCCTGAGGGACTACGATGAACCCCTTCCTCTCCAGGGCACCCAGGTTCCTTCACAAATCACCCCAGCTCCTCCACCCTCATGCTCTTGCACCTCCACAGAAAATCCTAGGGCTCTGTCTCCTCCACAGAGCTGTGGCCACCCCAGAGCATCCAGATTCCTACTCCCTTAGGCTCCTCCCCAGAAACACCCAGGCTCCTCCCTCAGGCTCTGGCTCCACCTCCAGGAGCACCCAGGCTCCTACCCCAGAACCCCAAGCTGACATCTCTCCATATAGGGTGGGCGTGCGTGGCCCTCATCAAAGTTCAGGGAGCCCCGCCTTCAGCCTCCCTCCCTCCATCCCAGAAACTGGATGGGTGGGGGCGGCATCGAGGCTCACTGCCACCTGGCAGGTGGGGTGCCCGGGAGAACTGCGGCTGCATCTACCGGCTTCGGGTCCGCCTACTGGACGTGTACGAAAACGAAGTGGTCAAGTTCTCCGCCTCACCCAACCCGGTCCTTCAGTGGACTGAGAGAGGCTGCCGGCAGGTGGGTCCAGACGGCTTTCCAGACTACCCCTGACCTGCTTGCTCAAACCTCTCACCCTGCTCAGATTCCCTTCTCGGCTTGCATCACCGCTGGATATTTATAATAACAGCTAACAAACACTGAGCCCTTAGTACATGTTCCAAGAGTTAGCTCTATTAATTCACTTCATTAGCACAACAGCCTACTGGTTCGACTTCCATTGGTCGAGCACCTACTTGCACTGGGCACTGCTCTAAGTGCTGGGAAGGCACTGGCCCCATAGAGCATGCAGGGCGGCATTCAAGCCAACGCTGGCTCCTAAGCCTGTGCCATCATAATCATCGCACCTCGGTTATCACCATAACCTTTCGGATGGTCTTGTTTCCACTCCCGATCTCCTTCCCCCAACCCTCACCCAACACCCGGACTCAGCAGCCAGAAAGATCCCATTAAAAAGTTAATCGGATCACAGGTGTCCCCTTCTTGTGAGTTACCACATGGCTACATCTCAGAGTGAAAACCAGTCCTGTGATGCAGCCATAAAAAGACATAAAGTACGGATCCCGGCTACAACATGGACGGAGCTTGGCGACAGTATGCTAAGTGACGGGCCAGGAGCAAAAGGCCACATATGTGACTGCAGGTATATGAAATGTCCAGAATTAGTAAAACCATTAAGACAGAAAGCAGACAGATTAGTGGTTGCCAGGGGGTAGGGGGAGGGAGGAACTGGAAGTAGCGGCTAATGGGTACAAGGTTTTTCCCCTGGGGTGATGGAAATGTTCCAGGATTAGATAGTGGTGATGGTTGCA